TATGTAACTATATCTATCTAGTGTTATGTAACTATAACTATTTTATCTATTTCTCTATTTAACTTGCTATCTAGCTATCTATTGTTCTATCTATCTATCTACACTGATTCTCCACTATATACACAATCTGCTACAACACTACTAACTCTCAAAGCAACTAACGCAACAACAGCAACAAACCAACCTGCTCTGCAAAGACATTTCAAATGAACACCACTAAATAGGGATAGCCTATCTCTGAACACACTCAATCAAGCAAAGTGATTCACATGACAAACCGAACCAGTCAGCTGATTCACATGAAGTCCAATGCACAATTGCTTCGGACGTCACTCAAGTGATTCAAACGTCACTAGTCACGTGACCAAAACACACCTTGGCACTATGGTTCGATACAATTGCTTCATGAGCTACCATGCATGTGTCGGAGCCTCGGATGTCAGAGGACCATCACTAGTCATGGGAAAGATTCGTTCAAAATGAACGAATTGTTAGTGAACGACACATCACTATTTGGTTATTGACAAGTATCGATCATCATAACTTTGTACTTAATTGATACCATGCTGTTTATGCTATATATACTATATTATATAAGTATCCCTGAAGCTAAAGACAAAATTGATATGAACCGTAATGGAAACAAGACAAAAACAACTTCAAGCAAGTGTTCACACAAACAGTAAGCTATATCACTGTTTAAGTCGTAGATTTAGAAGCAAGTAAACAGAGGCTTCTGACCTGTTCAGTAGCCCTCTCCTGTAAAAGTGAAAAAGTAAAAATGAAGCCGCTCTGGTTGGAGAGGAAATGCATTACTTTTTTAAATTTATATTTTCCTGAATATTCTGCCAAGACAGCAAAGTCAAACAATAAAACTTTCAAAAAAAAAAAAAACTAAACGATGTACAAAAATAGAATGCAACCAAATTCACATAGTAATCACACCAACAAGCAGTAGCAGCAGGATAGAACAGAACATCTATTGACTTAAATCACCGACCGCTCTTTACTTCATCTGCCAGAAAATCCTTCAAGAAAGATTTGGCATTATAGGTGTGAGATTCATGAAACAGTATAGTCCCAAGTTACAGAAATATGACTACCAAACATCTTAGGGAATGCAAAGATGAAAGGATTTGCACAGAAATGCATGCACAGCCAAAACATTCTTTTTCCCAGACTAACCAAATACATAAGCAGTAATGGTAGTGTAAGAAATTGTGATCTTGTTTTCTACTTTGTGGCATGGTGAGCGGCCTTGAATATTTGAGGTGAAAAACAATTTTTACCCTCAAGCTGGTCCACCAGACGACTGCACTCATTTGCAGAAAGGGATAAAGCAGCCCTTAGGCCCACAACACATGAACAGAGCTGCTGCTCTGTTTGCAGCATCAAACTTGAATAATTCATTATGTGTCAAGTCAGTTTGTGTTGAGTGGAGGTACAGTAGTTAACACATAGTGTGAGGTTTTAAAGGAAACATAGTCCTTAAAGAGTCCCATGGCATACTTTTCCTTGTTTTCTTACTTATCTACAATGTTGCAACAGTGAATTATCATCTTAGACATGACCTAAAGCTCAAAAAAGTAAGTGTGCATATGTTCTAGTACTTCTATACAGAAGCAACTCAGTATTTACACGTCTGGCAACATTTTGCTCATGAGACTTTTTTCAAATAAAATAACGTCTAGTGATAGTTTAAGGATTTCCTTGAATGGTCATAATCTCCAGGCAGTTGTGCATTCGTGTGAGCTTGCCTGACATCCACCGGTGCCATTGTAAAACTGGAATTTTGAGACTGCATGCAATTTTGTGGCTATATTTTACCTTCTGCTGCCTGCACTGTGACCAGAGGATGTGGAGAAATATACTGGGCCTAAGGTTACTGCATGTCTGGGAATGTTCCTGTACAGGGACTTGCTGTTTTGCCTTGACCTACAAGCAGCTGGCCAGTGCAGCCCCCCGCAATGATGAATGATCAGCTCATCAGTGATCCCCTCAGAGCATAGTACCTGTTTGTTTTGACTGCTTGAGGCCAGTGTGTCTGCAGCACATGCTGTGTTGCTGGTTAACATGCGAATTAACAACCCATGATGTTAGTGTAGGTGCTACCCTGCCTGTTGGAATTAATTTCACTACTTTGGGACTGTATGCGGTTGTGTGGGGGAAGACGCAGCGATTACCGGTTGGATTTACCGACCTTGGAGCTACTTGAAAGGAAGTGATGTGTCTACTGCTCGGTGGGGCTTAATGGTAAATTTCTGAAAAGTTGCATGTCTGTTAATGCCTTGTTTCTGTGATATGAGAGAGAATTGTTGTGGCTGGAGAAGTTGCTGTGTCTGCATTATTCCAGTTAAAATATGGGGTTTCTCAATAATCCGCTTTGTTTAGAGTGGTACAAATCTCTTTTCATCGGTACATATACCATTTATGGAGGAGAAATTTACATTAATTAATGCTGTTGCAGTTCGTTGTGCTGTCCACTCTTGACACGACCCTGGCAGCAGGAGGTGTGCACATTCACAAACTATCCTCTAGTTTTATCATTTTGAAATAATTACAGAATATTTTGATTTATGATGGGTCCAAATGTAATCTAGAAGTACCCAAGATTAACAGTAAATGGCTAGAAATGAGCATGTGATGGCCACTTTAAAATAATATGGCAGATATTGTGCACAATTAAAATATATATATATAATAGGGTACTCAATAATTCTTCCAAATCTTAAAATATACCCACAAGGAACTGTTGATTTTTAAAAACCAGTTCGGTACCCATACTGAATTAATCATAGTTCAGTATTGGATGTCTAGTGAAACTTTGTAAAAGCAGTTTATATCACACTAAGGTATGTAAATTGGTTTTCAGTTCATCTGACTAAAAAAAGCTGGTGAGTAATTAAAATTCAGTTGTTATCCAGGTTATTGTTTTATTCATACAGATATGCTTGCAATCTACATTGCCTGTAATATTAAACCTATTTGCTTGATGAGACTCTGCATCCAGACCTTTCGACTGTCTGTGGCACTAGG